ATGTTGGTGATATAGATGTGATGATTGATGTATATATATATATATATTGTCTGTTACAATGGAATGTAAAAAAAAATTACAATTCTCGGGGTCTTTGCCGAGTGCCATGGACAATGCACTCGGTAAAGTTTTTTCCAAAAAAAATCCAGAAATTCTTTGCCGAGTGCCTGGGCTGGCGCACTCGGCAAAGTACTTTTAAAAAAAAAACTTTGCCGAGTGTCTGGGCAGGGGCACTCGACAAAGTATTTTTTTTAAAAAAAATAAAAAAACTTTGCCGAGTGCCTGGGCAGCGGCACTCGGCAAAGTATTTTTTTTAAAAATCCAAAAATTCTTTGTCGAGTGCCTGGGCTGGGGCACTCGGCAAAGTATTTTTTTTTAAAAAATAAAAAAAAAATTTGCCGAGTGCCTGGACAGGGGCACTCGGCAAAGTAATTTTTTTAAAAAATAATTAAAAAACTTTGCCAAGTGCCTGGACTTGGGCACTCGGCAAAGTAATCTTTAAAAAAATAAATTTTTTTTTTGCCGAGTGCTGGGTCAGGCCCTCGGCAAAATAACCGTGAACGGTGGAACGACCGAAAATATTTTGCCGAGTGCCGCCCTAAGCACTCGGCAAAATTATTTTTTATTTTGCCGAGTGCCCCGATAAAAAGCACTCGGCAAAGACCCTTTGCCGAGAAAAATTTTGCCGAGCGGACTTTGCCGAGCGCTACACTCGGCAAAGTCTTTGCCGATTGCAAAGGGCTCTTTGCCGAGTGTAAAAACACTCGGCAAAGCCGCGGCCTCCAGTAGTGACTTGTCTTCCTAAAGTTTGGTTTGAGCCCCAATTCTCAAAATGCAAGTTGCATAATAATAGCTATCATGTGTTCTGTACAACAAATAATTAAGTATCCTATAGTGTTCTGAACATGCCCCAAAATGGACACAAGTTACCTACGGCGCAGGCGCTATATATAGCTGCCCAATGAATGATTAAATGACTGATGATGAAAAAGGCAGAGTAAAGAACACTTACAGTAGAAAATTAAGAAATAAATAAAGGAGTGGCTGCTCAAATTTATTTATCTCAATATATATTTAGGTGTGCCAAATAGTAATTTATTATTATCCCGATACAGTTTCAATATATGTGTACATCAGCTTAAAATTGTACTTGTGCCGTGTGAAACCATTGAAGGGAATTTTTTTTTGTGTGTTTCCATCCTTCATACATTATTGAGAATTTCACCATCCAAATAGAATGAAATATATTCCAGTCCTTGGTGCAACTAACTGCAGAACCAAAGAACAATTTTGACGAACCAATCATTATGTAGAAGATAACTCTAGCAGCACTGCCATTTGGGTATCCAGGGATAAGAAAAAATTGCAACAAAACTGATCCTTTTCTTTCAGAAGAAAGTGTAGAAGCCATTCAAAGTGGGAGAAGTTTGCTATGGTTAATTTTACTAATAATAAGTATGCTAAATAGTTTTCAACGATTCATTTTCTCCTTTGTAAATTGTTCATATAAAATTCCGGTAGTGATGCTTATAAGGATTACAAAGGCCCATGAGTTTTGGCTACTCCCTGTTACTAGTAATCCTATCACAACAAGAGAAATTTTAGGTTGTCTGGTCTACCACTACTATTCTCAGAAAACAATTTTAGTCAAAGAGTTTTGAAAGAATTCCTCAACTCTTACTTATTTCTATTTTTAGTCAAAGTGTTTTGAAAGAGTTCGTTAGCTTTTACTACGAACTCCTTGCATGGTACTATCTTTGTCACAAATATAAGCAGTTAGACATTGATATATACAATCCGTGAGGTGAAACTTTGGTCACAAATTTTTGTAAGAAATTATTATTTGAGCGCTGGTAGAGAAGTGGCTATTTAGGGCTTGCCTGACATACCATCGTGGCGCATTGTCTGAGCTCCACGTATCCATTCATCATCCATATCACGACCACAACATTTCAGAGGCGCCTACAGAGGCAGTGAACGCTTTGTCCGACAAAAGTCTGAAGCATACTCACTAAGACTAGCGTTGTAGCCAAGGTAAGTCCCTGTCAAACTTTTATCCAAGGACCATAGTAGCGCGGCAAATCTACTTGATGCACTCAAAATCTACCCATAGTGCCAAAAAAAATGTGGGCCAGGTTCTGAAAATATGGCAAAGGAGGAACACGCTGCCTACGTTGGGATGTTGGAGACGTAAGGGCATCTCCAATATAGAGACAGGGCTAGCTCTAAAGTAGAACTCACATCAATTGAGCATCATCTAACATCTTGCCCCATAATGTTTAGAAATGGATGCCGCTCCAGTTTATGACCCACACACTGAACAATATAACGAAGGTGGCCGAAGAAAGTGAGAAAAAACATAATTTTGTCCCTTAAACATGGGCGTTCCATGAACGCGGGCTCGTGGGTTTTTTTTAGTTTTTTAATCGATTAACCGAGGTGGACGTTCTAAGTTGCCCGCCTCGGTTAATCTAATATCCGAGGTGGGCAAAGCAACCGCCTTCGTTGTTCTCCATTAACGGAGGCCTTTGATTGGAGGCGGTTGCAATGGCCGCCTCCATTAATCTGTTTTGTCCGCCTCCATTAAACTCTGTGTAGTAGTGGAACCTAATTATCTGTGGATTTAACCTGACAACGTAAATGAGCCGGTCATATAGGCACATTAAATATATAGGAAATTAGGAATAACTAAGGGCTTGTTCGGTTTTGGCAGAACGACCCCACGATTGATTCCGGCTGATGAAAGCTTATATAAATTAAGTAACAATTCCGGCCAGGATTTCTTCGAGGAGGTTGTTCTGGGAAAAGCGAACGGGGCCTAAGGAATATCCATTACAGAAGCCCTTAGGCTGTCCATGCCTACGTGTAGTGTGTGTGCTTTTTTTTTTTTGACTGAAAACCAACAAGCCTGTTAGCCTCTGTACGAGGAAAATCAGGAACCTGTTAGCCTGTTAGCCTGTTAGCCTGTTAGCCTGTTAGCCACTGCCACTCACGTACGTCAGCAGCTAGACAACTAATCACGGACCGATGTCAGCCACCGGCCGGAGCCCACACTGCCTGCTTCTTGTGGACCAATGCAATTACGGAAATTTGGGCATCATTTGCTATTCATGGGGACCCGGTGCTGCCGTGCAGTGGGCTACAATCCATGTGCTTCACTGCAAGTGACCCTACCACCCTCTCGCTAGCTTGTCGATTGGCCCGTCTCCAACCCTAGCACTGGAGCAGCCAGTGATGAATTCGAGCCATTGTGATGGGCAATGGCACGATCCAGGGCCCTCGCCCAGCTCCGACGTCGGTGTACTCTGATGTATTCCTTGCCATTATTGTGTTCAGCGAGAAGCTTAATAAAAGCATACGATTTCAAAGGCGACGCCTAGAACTTCGCGAGCGTTAGGTCCGCTATTGTTGATGGGAAAAATCTTTCTGGTCTTTGCTTATTTTGAAACATCATAACTTGAATTATTAGAGCAACTCCAAGAGTTCATCTAAAATTAGTAGCCCAATTTCACAGTTTAGCCATTATGTAAAATACAAAAATCCTCAAAAGAGAAGAGATCTACAACAGCTTAGCTATTTTCCATCCTCTATATTCAAAAAGTTGGCCACATCAAGTAACTGCCATCAATTTTCACCTACTTGACTTATTCCTGGCGCTTGAAATAGGATGGGATCACATGTGCTAGCCAATCACAGGAGAGTTAGGCGCATGGGAGAGAAAACCATGCATGGAAGCCGTAGATGGCCAGCAGGCACGGCTCGCAAAAGATAGCCAGCGAGACAGCCGGGATAGCGCTTGGGGGAAAAAAGAAAACAGGATACAAGAGCTGTTGGAAGTGTTTTTGGGCCAATAATCGTCAAACCGGGTTTTAAGGAGCATTATACAAAGGCTGTTGGAGTTGCTCTTAAAACTATTCAATAGCAGTCTGGAAACAACACACAAACAAAAAAATGCAAATCGTATACACCGTAACAGATTTTCATGAGATAAATTATTGAGCAGTGAGCACATATGACCCTATTGCTAAATCTCCATCCATTGTTGACAAAAATTTGCATCCCCGCCATGGTCTCTCCATGGACTAACTTTCTTCTTGATTGGTGCTTTATGATTCGTGCAATTTTGTAAAAGAGGACCACTGGAACGAAACTCTCTCCTTAATTATTAGTTGTCTGTTTATGAGATACGGTATATATGTATTCTATTTTATTATTGAACTTATTACTCAGCAGAAGGTTACACAATACTACAAATAGTACTCCAAAAGAGATGTGTTGGAAAACAATTAAGCAATATAGCAACTAGTGGCATGTCCTGAAAAGAAGAGAAGTTTGTTAACCAAATTAATGCGCAGGTCGATAATACTAGTCTATATCACTGTATAAATTATAAAATGACCTTGTGTACAATATGCCTGGATCAGGAATATATATAAATAGACTGCCGTGCGAACAAAACACAACACCTGCATGGAACACGAAATTCAGAAGAGGAACACAAGAACAATGCTGAAAGCATCCTCACTAGGAGCATATATATAAACTGTGATTTACCGTACGTATTCTACCGGCAAGTTCTTCGATTTAGTTTACATGGAAACTAAATCCAAAACTTTCCAAGAAATACGTTTATTAACACACGACAAATTAAACAACCCTTGGATCTTGAACAAATCCTTCAATGAGCTAACTTTCCTACAAATCCAATGCGCAATAGCATTAGCACACAATCTAATTAACCCCTCTCCTTGAAACAAGCATAAATTGTTGGGGTAGCAATTTTTTTTTGGGCGGTGCAACACCGCCTAAAATATAAGCACCATGCACTATGCATGTGCATAAAAACATGAAGAAAGAAGAGAGAAGCATGACGATGACATGCAGCCAGCTTGGATTGATGCAGAGTGTCTCAAGTCAAGCCAGCCGTGAAACGTGAGCTAGCACACAAGTGCTTTATTTGGCGACGGATCAGCGCAAACCTGCCGACCACGAGAGGCTAGCTAGCTGGTCCGCTGCAGCCTGTGGAGCAACGCGGCGCGAAGGGCGCGGTCGTCCCGCAGCGCGGCGGGCACTTCCACGACGGCGTCCTGCACGGTCATGCCGCCGAAGAGGCACACGCACGCGTGCGACACGGTCAGGTCCAGCGACCGGAGCGCGAGCATGAGGCGCGCGGGGGCGTGGCGCGCCGCCGCGGTCGTCGTCAGGCGCAGCGCCGCCGCCTCTGTCCCGACCATCCGCACCTCCAGCTTCTCTCCGAAGAATATAGATAACAACGAAGTAAAAATTTATTTTTCGATACAAATATATACATGACAAGATAGACACCACTAGAGTTTATTGGCACCGAGCAAGACCAAGCAATAAAAGCACCAATTAGAATAGTTAACTAACAAATTAGAGATTAACATGCTAACTAAGAATGCACTGTGGGGGCACCAAAATGTTGGGGGATGCCACCAGGCCCCCGAGCCCTTCCCTCCACCACGATTCACTCTTCCCTTCATAAATGATAAATCACCACATGGACCATCCACAATCTAGTAACGCTCATAGTCGTCAACCTCAGGACCAGCTTTACATACCATCGCTTAGAGTTTGAACCATCAAATGCATTTACTTTAAGCACAGCAGCAAAACCACTAAAAGAAAAATGTCTAAAATTAGTTTTTTCGATTGTTGGATATTTATTGCATTTTCATATTTAATATAATCTAGAAAATTAGTAGCAAAGCATTCCTGATGACATGTATGTGCACGTGTGATTCAGCTACTCGCAATAATTGCAAATATGCAAGGCATCATACTGATCAAAACAAAAATAGTACTAAAATTCACAAATTCAGTAAGTAGGGACACGGGTAGTGAAAGTGGCGGTGTCGAAGGGAGGGATGTGTGGTGGCACTCTGCAAAGCAAACATATGCGTTTGAGAGGGAACACAAAGTTCCAATTCAAACTAAATGGTTCTAATGAAAACATAGTTCAAGATTCAAACATGGTTCAAAAGCAAAGAAAAAATGTCAAAGGATATAAAATCTACATAGGTGATTGTGATGTCACACTACTTCACAAATTCTTTTACACAGCGTTTCACAATTGTGCTCTGCTGACGGTCACTAAACATCAATTATAAACCGTTAACATAACCTGTATTTATACTTAATTCCATCACCAAACATAGGTATAGGGGTTTAAACTAATAAATTTTATGAGTTTTGGTGAATCTGTGTTTTCAGCAGGGTTTATCCAGAAAATCGTCAAGTGGGATCTAGTCGTCAAAGGAAATTATGGAATTTCGCCGCGTAATCGACGTGGGAAGACTCTAAAAGACTCCAGAAAGCGAATCACCAAAGCGGAGCACGTGTCTATGACATGTGGGGCCGCCCGGCCCTAGCTAGAGGTCACCTGACCTGTGGGCCCCCCATGTCAGCCTTCTGTTGCTATATCGGTTCTCCACCGCCTCCTAGGTTGCATCTATGTTGTTCTTTAAGTCGGTTTGATCCAAGGGCTCACGTTGGATATTCCGCCCTATATATACCAGCCCCTGCCACCCACCATGGAGCCATCCTGAAACCCTAATTCATATTCTCCTCATCAGGATCAGAGCCAGCTATCAAGAGAAGATTAGTCCTATATAGGATCTAGTCTTATGAATAGAAATAGTGAGATAGAGAGTGAGAGAAGAGTTTGGATGAGGTGTCGGTCTGTCGGTGCTCTCTTTACGGCTTGTACCTTGGCGGATCCAAGTTCTACTTGAGCTTGCCTTTGAGATATCTCTGGTAATCAACTTCTAATTCGACTAAGCATCTTGTTTATATTGTTCATCAGGATCACGACTCTTTTGAGTGCTTTATTCCTGTTCTAGAGGGAGTAGAGTATTAATCGTAAATGTAAGCATGGTGCTTTATACCTCCTGTCTGTAGACGCACGTAGGACGCGGTTGCGAAGGAAAGCATCCTCTGCTGGTGTCTTTCCCTAGTAATGTCTTCAGTTGAATAGTATAAGACATAAGCTTATCCAAGTCAGAACTACAGACTTTAGTTATCCTCTCTACGCTCCTATTTATCCTAACATCGTTGCTACCCTTAGTTAGATTAGACCGTAGTTAGTCTCACACATTTCCTTATGGATACGATACTTGGAATACCTCCGGATGAAAGCTACAGTGGTATTCGTGCGCTTGTGAATTTATCTGTGCACATTAAATATACCAACAAGCTTTGTAGCGCCGTTGCTGGGGAAATGGTTGTTGAATTAACTTTGACATTTTATCTTTTATTCTTTCTTTAATTTTTCTTTTAGCATGGATTCCACTCCTATCTATCAATATGCTAAACCCACGAGCGCAAGCCTAGAGCCACCAAAATCTTTAGAGCATATCCTAACACTTGGCTATAAGCAGTGCCCGTATTTTATAAAATTGATACGGGATAAATCCTTCTCGGGAGAAGGCGATGAAAACCCGTACTCACACCTACAAGAGTTTGAACAAATCTGTGCATGCTTACGTATCGCTGGCATGTCTAACAAAACCTTAAGATGAAAGTTGTTTCCATTCTCTTTGACTTGAGGAGTTAAACAATGGTATAGTCAAACCATAGAAAATACGTAAGGAGACTGGAAAACGTTACGCTCTAAATTTTATTTATGTTTCTTTCCCATCTCTAAAGTAGCTAACCTTCGGAAAGGGGTTCTAAATTTTAGATAACTAGAAGAAGAATCTCTTGGTACATCGTGGGATCGTTTTAATGAACTCATCATCACTGGCCCAGACATTGCCATTCAAGACCCTGTACTTCTTCAACATTTTTACATGGGTCTTTGCAAGGATTCCATAGAATGCCTTGATGCAGCCTCTAGAGAAGCTTTCCTTCATTTGTCTAATAGTGAAGTAAGGGCTATGTTTGATAGAATCAGTGGGAAGACTCCCTGCACTAGCATTCATAATAAACTCTCTGAGAAAGAGAAGAAATCATCTCCCGATCAAGAAGAGAAAGTTCTGATAGCCAAATCACAACCACTTCAATCCTGAGATTTAGCTATCAATTCTAATCCATCAATACCCCAAAATCCCCCAAGAGAAGAAGGATTTCCATCTTTGGAAATCCCTGTTGAAATTAAGGATGACCTATTTGGTATTGATTTTGGGATAACATTAAATTCTTATCTTCATAACAGATCTTCGAGCGAATATAATTTAAATCCTCTCAAGAAGGGATCTCTTAGAAAGCATCCTTATTCCCATATAGGAACTTAGAAAGAATTCAAGGATGGCATTTCAAGTAATGCCATAGAAAGAGAGCTGAGCCATCTAGAAGCCATTCCTATCCTCTTCCCTTCTATATCCACATTAGATCGCTCATCTGAATCCATCTTTCAACCCATCCTTGACCTCGAAGATCTCTCTTATGCTCTCTCTCCTTAGTGTCATGATGACCCTTGAAATCCGCTAAGACAATCAAAGTATAGGAATCAAGAAGGTCACAAGGATGACCAAAAAGAGCAACTACAATGGTTGGAATGTATTAAGAACTTGTATGCCATTGCTAAAGAATGGATGGACAAGGACAAAGCCTCAAGAAAAATGGACCCTAGGCCCATTTACTTTGGATTTTAGTGTTTGATGACCAACACAACCAAATTGGAATAATAAATTTGCAAGTAATTGTTTTGTAGTTCAATAGGGTGCAAGATGTGACATAGACGAAGACGACTTGATGATCCTACGATCAACACCATAAGTAAGATCCTAGAAGCACAAGAGAAGACCCAAGATATCAAGCAAAGTCTAAGTTGATAAAATTTGACTTGCACGCATCCCATCACGTCCTTCTTTTTGGGACGGAGGGGTTAGGTAGGAGTAGTAGGGCTTTCTTGTTTCCCCCCTCCTTAGTCACTATCACATTAAATATTTAAGATATACATAAAGTATTAAATATAGACTAATTATGAAACTAAATGTACAGATTGACACTAATTTGCGAGACAAATTTTTTAATCCTAATTAGTTCAAGATTTTACAATGTGGTGCTACAGTAACATGTGCTAATGACGGATTAATTAGGCTTAATAAATTTAACTCACAGATTACTAAGGACTTGTGTAATTTGTTTTATTATTATTATTCGAACACTCTCCATGTGATATCCCATATGACATCCGATCACGGGTAGAGAACAGAGCTTTACTCCCGGTGGGGAACCCCCTCTAGTCCCGGTTCCCCACCCGGGAGTAAGCATTCGGGACTAAAGGGGATCCTTTAGTCCCGGTGGGTAATACCAACCGGGAGTAAAGATCCTCTCAGCTTTAAAAAAAATAATGCCTCCCACCGCTGCGTCCCGTGAGATTCGAACCCAAGACTCCATGCATTGCCTCGCGCGTAGCTTACCACCCCACCTACACAACACATCTAACAATGGATGGGATGCTTCCCTTTTGAACTAACCCATCGGGGGACCTTTAGTCCTGGTTGGTGTTACCAACCGGGACTAAAGGGTCCTTTAGTCCGGGTTGGTGTTACCAACCAGGAGTAAAGGGTCTACTTTTAGTCCAGGTTGGTGTTACCAACCGGGACTAAAGGTTGAGGACTTTTAGTCCCGGTTGGTGGCTCCAACCGGGAGTAAAGGTCCACCTTTAATCTCGGTTGGTGTCTTCAACTGGGACTAAAGGTCCTCTGCCACTGTGCCGAGCGCAGTAGCCGTTGAGCAGGGACCTTTAGTCCCGGTTGGAGACACCAACCGGGACTAAAGGTCTCTCTAGTCCCGGGCGTAAAAAATGGCGGGACTAGAGCTCATTTTAGCATCGGATGAAAGGTCTGTTTTCTACTAGTGAATGTGACACCTCTAAACTTTAGCCCCTGAATTTAAATGCCCCTAGATAAAAAAAACACTCCGACATCCACATCCGTGAACAAACACAAAGGGCTTGCAGCTGATGCGACATGATATGCCAATTCACTTTCATCAATAATGTAAGGTGGTCCACATAGGTGATGAGGGAAACCATTTGTGAGTGGTTGGACATCTTGTAGGGCCAGTGTGTTAGATAATACTCCTTCCCTTAGACTAAACTACTAGGTAGCGTGCCCGTGTGTTGCTATGGGACAACTAAACTTTTATACTAAAAACACATGGATCACACAATAAGATAACAATAGTACAAATAGTACTCCATAAGAGATGCGTTGGAAAACAATTAAGCAATATAGCAACTAGTGGCATGTCCTGGAAAGAAGAGAAGTTTGTTAACCAAATTAATGCGCAGGTCGATAATACTAATCTATATCACTGTATAAATTATAAAATGACCTTGTGTACAATATGCGTGGATCAGGAATATATATATAAATAGACTGCCGTGTGAACAAAACACAACACCTGCATGGAACACGAAATTCAGAAGAGGAACACAAGAACAATGCTGAAAGCATCCTCACTAGGAGCATATATATAATCTGTGATTTAAGCCACAGTCGAAGGTACCGTACGTATTCTACCGGCAAGTTCTTCGATTTAGTTTACATGGAAACTAAATCCAAAACTTTCCAAGAAATACGTTTATTAACACACGGCAAATTAGACAAACCCTTGGATCTTGAACAAATCCTTCAATGAGCTAACTTTCCTACAAATCCAATGCGCAATAGCATTAGCACACAATCTAATTAACCCCTCTCCTTGAAGCAAGCATAAATTGTTGGGGTAGCAATTTTTTTTTGGGCGGTGCAACACCGCCTAAAATATAAGCACCATGCACTATGCATGTGCATAAAAACATGAAGAAAGAAGAGAGAAGCATGACGATGACATGCAGCCAGCTTGGATTGATGCAGAGTGTCTCAAGTCAAGCCAGCCGTGAAACGTGAGCTAGCACACAAGTGCTTTATTTGGCGACGGATCAGCGCAAACCTGCCGACCACGAGAGGCTAGCTAGCTGGTCCGCTGCAGCCTGTGGAGCAACGCGGCGCGAAGGGCGCGGTCGTCCCGCAGCGCGGCGGGCACTTCCACGACGGCGTCCTGCACGGTCATGCCGCCGAAGAGGCACACGCACGCGTGCGACACGGTCAGGTCCAGCGACCGGAGCGCGAGCATGAGGCGCGCGGGGGCGTGGCGCGCCGCCGCGGTCGTCGTCAGGCGCAGCGCCGCCGCCTCTGTCCCGACCATCCGCACCTCCAGCTTCTCTCCGAGGCTGCTGCTGCTGCTGAACGAGTGCGAGGGTGCCACCGTCGTGAGAGCGGCGGCGGCGGCCTTCTTCTTGGCATCGGCCTCGAGCTGCTCAACGCGTTGACGCAGCTGGGCGATGTAGGTGGTGGCGTCGGCGAGGACGGATGCCTTGTCCATCCGGGACACGGTGGGCACGGCGGCCCGGAACTCGCAGAAGAGGCGGTTGAGCTTGTCCCGCCGCTGCCGCTCCGCCTCCACATGGCAGAGGGCGGGGCCGTCGATGTTGTTGCGGGACCCTGGTTTCCTGCCACGCCTCTTCAGCGCAGGTGCTGCCGGTTCGCCGGACAGGTGGTCGTTGCCCGGCGAGCGCGAGACCTCCTGGTGGTGTCCGGCGTTGGAGAACGAGGCCGGGGAAGGACAGCTGCTGGAGGAGGCAGGGAAGACCAGTTCATCCATTGGACTGTGGCCCTGTACGTGCTGCAGCAGCTGCAGTGTATGCCTGTAAGGATATAAGTTTAGATCTGGTAGTGTCACGGTGCCGATGGAGAGGAACTTAGGGGAGCGCGGCCGTTCCAGCTCGTTTTTAAGGTGGCATCTCCAACTCCAACGACAGTACGGGGCCGTTTGGCCGGGATCCTACACGCTCCGACTCATTTTTAAGGGTAGAGTTAGGATTTAAACATGGAGATTGTTCAAAGCCGACAACGATCATATGCGATGAAATATATACACGACAAGAATATAGATAACAACAAAGTAAAAAAAATAATTCCGTTACAAATATATACATGACAAGATAGGCACCACTAGAGTTTATTGGCACCGAGCAAGACCAAGCAATAAAAGCACCAATTAGAATAGTTAACTAACAAATTAGAGATTAACATGCTAACTAAGAATGCACTGTGGGGGCACCAAAATGTTGGGGGATGCCACCAGGCCCCCGAGCCCTTCCCTCCACCACGATTCACTCTTCCCTTCATAAATGATAAATCACCACATGGAGCATCCACAATCTAGTAACGCTCATAGTCGTCAACCACAGGACCATCTTTACATACCATCGCTTAGAGTTTGAACCATCAAATGCATTTACTTTAAGCCCTGCAGCAAAACCACTAAAAGAAAAAATGTCTAAAATTAGTTTTTTGGATTATTGGATATTTATTGCATTTTCATATTTAATTTAATCTAGAAAAATAGTAGCAAAGCATTCATGAAGACATGTATGTGCACGGGTGATTCAGCTACTCGCAATAATAGCAAATATGGAAGGCATCATACTGATCAAAACAAAAATAGTACTAAAATTCACAAATTTAGTAAGTAGGGACATGGGTAGTGAAAGTGGCGGTGTCGAAGGGAGGGATGTGTGGTGGCACTCTGCAAAGCAAACATATGCGTTTGAGAGGGAACACAAAGTTCCAATTCAAACTAAATGGTTCTAATGAAAACATAGTTGAAGATTCAAACATGGTTCAAAAGCAAAGAAAAAATGTCAAAGGATATAAAATCTACATAGGTGATTGTGATGTCACACTACTACACAAATTCTTTTACACAACGTTTCACAATTGGGCTCTGTTGACGGTCACTAAACATCAATTATAAATCATTAACATAACCTGTATTTATACTTAATTCCATCACCAAACATAGGTATATGGGTTTAAACTAATAAATTTCATGAGTTTTGGTGAATCTGTGTTTTCAGCAGGGTTTATCCACAAAATCGTCAAGGGGATCTAGTCGTCAAAGGAAATTGTGGAATTTCGCCACGTGATCGACGTGGGAAGACTCTAAAAGACTCCAGAAGGCGAATCATCGAAGCAGAGCACGTGTCTTTGACATGTGGGGCCGCCCGGCCCTAGCTCGAGGCCACTTGACCTGTGGGCCCCCCATGTTAGCCTTCTGTTGCTATATTGGTTCTCCACCGTCACCTATGTTGCATCTATGTCGTTCTTTAAGTCGGTTTGATCCAGGGGCTCACGTTGGACGTTCCGCCCTATATATACCAGCCCTTGCCACCCTCCATGGAGCCATCCTGATACCGTAATTCATATTCTCCTCGTCAGTATCAGAGCCAGCTATCAAGAGAAGATTAGTCCTTTATAGGATCTAGTCTTATGAATAGAAATAGTGAGATAGAGAGTGAGAGAAGAGTTTGGAGGAGGTGTCGGTCTGTCGGTGCTCTCTTTACGGCTTGTACCTTGGCGGATCCAAGTTCTACTTGAGCTTGCCTTTGAGATATCTCTGGTAATCAACTTCTAATTCGACTAAGCATCTTGTTTATATTGTTCATCAGGATCACGACTCTTTTGAGTGCTTTATTCCGGTTCTAGAGGGAGTAGAGTATTAATCATAAATGTAAGCGTGATGCTTTATACCTCCTGTCTGTAGACGCACGTTGGATGCTCTCTCTTATGCTCTCTCTCCTAACACGAGAGCTTGCAACCGGCATAGTCTCATGCACAACTGGAACGAGGTTCTTTGCCGAGGGCCGAATACGCTCGGCAAAGAGGCTTTGCCGAGAGTTGCTCTCGGCAAAGGCCGGTCGGCACAGTACCTCACGGCAAAGGCTACTTTGCCAAGAGCCGCATCTCGGGCTCTCGGCAAAGGATTTGCCGAGGGTTAGCCGGCCGTCGGCAAAAATTTTCGCCGTGATGGCGAGAGGTCACGGTAAAGTTGATCTTTGCCGAGAGCCTTAGCAAGCTCTCGGTAAAGAATTTCTGAATTTTTTTTCCAAAAAACTTTGCCGAGCGTCTTTCAGAAGAGCTCTCGGCAAAGAATATTGACAATTTTTTTAGACATTTTTTTGCCGAGAGCTATGGCTCAGCTCTCGGCAAAGGCTTCCTCTTTGCCGAGCGCTATGGTCATGCGCTCGGCAAAGCTGGGATTCTATGTGTTTTAGAATTCCCAGCTTTGCCGAGGGCATGACCATAGCCCTCGACAATGCCACAGCCAGTTTTAATTTTTTTTTTACATTTCCAGTCAACAAATAAACATATATATGACATATATATGACATCCACATCACAATAAGCACATCCACATATCAATAACCACATCCACATCACATAATTCACATCCACATCACATAGAAGTCTCGAAGTTCGAAGTCACAATCAAATCTCGACACATAGACAACCACAAGTGTAAAGTTCGACAAGCAACATAAACAAGGGGCATAGGAGGCGCCAAACTGGTCACGACGACAGTCTAGGCTGAGAAGGCGTCGCGTGCGATCCTGGGGAGTTGACGAGGAGAAGGTTAGGGTCGTTCGCCGCCGTCGACTGACGCTACACAAACAAAGAAGATGCAGAACGTGTTAGACAACATAAATAGACAACCAAGCACTACATGTACTTTTTACCACCACCACCACACCACCACCACCACCACGCCACCACCACACTACTACTACCACCACCAACAAGCACACCACCACGCCACCACCACCACCACCACCACCACGCCACCACCACCGCCACCACCACGCCACCACCACGCCACCACAACCACACCACTACTACCACCAACAAGAACCACACCACCACCTCCACCAACCACGCAGCCACCACCACGACCACGCCACCACCACCACCAACCACGCCGCCACCACCACCCACCACCATCACCACTAGCACTAGGTTTTACTAGGTTTCACTAGGTTTGACATTTAGAGAAACTAAAACATTTGTCATACTCACCGGAGTAGAATCAAGCTGAGGTGGAGGTGTCATAACTCCGGTGGTGGCTCCTGCTTGGCCTCTAAAGCTGCCAGCCTCTACCTCTCGAGCTCCCGCTCGGCCTCCAAAGCTGCCAGCCTCTGTCGCTGCTGCTCTCGCTCGGCCTCCATCGCCTGTAACTGTGCCTACAACATTTGACGCCAATGTTTCAAGATTGTAGAGCTAAGGTATGTAAAAGTCAAAGAACTAGGAATGGAAGAGAACACTTACCTGGAGTGTCGACACCACGGTCGGGCGCTGGCGTATGGCCGGCATTGAGCTCGTGCTCGCTGCTCAGATCTGGTGCAGCGGAGGAATAGAGGTCATGCCGAGGACACCGTCGCCAAGCCAGAACCGCTCGTGCTTCTTGCCTTGCCCCACCCTCATCATGAGCTCTTGATCAAGCCGCTCCTCGGTGGTCGGGTCGTAGTCTGGCCCGTGGACTGACCTTGCCATCTCTGTGTATGTAGAGATGCGAGGGGCAATGCTGGCGTTGGTGAACGACTCGGCAGGGACTTCCGGGGTCCAGTCGGTGGCGGCCGTCGCCTTGCCCAAGTGGGACAAGGCATATGCCTTGAGGTGACCACAAGGGCGGCCACCATGTGACGCCAACTGTGAGAAAGATAATAACATTGTTAGAGTTGTTGCAGAATTGAGTGTTAGGTTAGAGAAATGGTTTTGCCTTACCCAAGCTTCTGAGAATTCGGAGAGGTTGCGGCTGCCTTGATGATGTGGTACTCCTTGCATTAGCAAACGGTGCCCGCGTGCTTCATCATGCTCCTTCTAGTCCTGGCTGAGCCACATGTCCACAATCCTCTCCCAGGCATCCGGATGCCGATTGCACCAATTTGGAATCGCCTACAGGCCATCAAGCAAACGATATATCAGAAGATCAAATTAAGGAAACTTAATCTCAGAAGAAATCAATAGTAATGTTCCGTATTTACCGCAAGGTACTCCTCCTTGGTCAGCACCACCTGTCTTGCCTCGTCCTTTTTGATGCTATGCCCTTTGACCTTCGCGTAGTGCCAAATGTGCGCCTGATGACGTGCGTCGTGAATCATGTCCGTGACGCGCTTCTTACAAGAAGCGACTGCCACCTGGTACGCCCTGTGCTCCTTGCCCTCCTCGATTCTAAAGAAATCCTACATAAAGGAGCGAGGTATCAATTACTTATTAGAAGAATGCCCAATGAATACGATGTATATGTGGCTAAAAGATTACAATGTGTGCCTGAAAGACTTACTGACAGGTCCCTGATGACCCGCTCTGCCTTGTTCCTGTATCTGTGGCCACTACGATCCATGGCATCGGCGGCCAATTCGTAGTGGTCGAACTGAGTGGCCGGCTCGAACATGTCCGGGCTCACCTCCACCAGGCCAGGGTAGTGCTCCCTGCACAGACCTCCTAGGATGCCATTCACTTTGCGTGCCTTGGCTCCAGTCTCCACAAGTTTCCAGTTCCTGCACAAGTGATTACAAAAAGTATTAGTTTGTATTTTGATTTTCAACATTTCAAATGAAGAAGTTTCGAGCACATCTTAAGTTACTTACCTATCCCCATAGGGTGTGATCAGCGGGCGGGCCGCTTCAGGTATTGGTCGACGTGGGAGCTTCGTGGGACCACGCAAGTACACCATCGACACACCAGAGGAAGTGGATCCCCCTGCAGTCGCCTCGTCCCCTGAGGTGGAGGAGGACCCCCCCTGCATCCGCATGCTCCATCATG